AAAAAAAAAAAAAAAAAAAACTCCGTTTAGTATATTTTAGTAGCTAATTTGCTATTTATTTCAAGGTATATACTATATATGATGATATTTTAGATACTCTACGATTAATTTAATATATAGCTGCAGATGTACTATAACTTCCCATTTCGTAATAATCTGATGCAGAAAATGGGACCAACAATCATATCAAAGTCGTGTAGAAATGAGTAGGTCAATAAGGTGCGCACTTGGGCCCACAATTAATACATTTCTAGGTCAATAAGGTGCGCACTTGGGCCCACAATTAATTAATAATAGGAGCAATTGCTAATAACATTAAGAAATTAATTAATAATAACTAGTGGAAGACTTTTCACCAGAGTTGAACTGCATTTTTTTACCGTGGGATGGTAGAGTCTGGGCCATGAAGCCCATGACTACATATGTAAATACTAGTGTATTATATGGGTGCATTAGAAAATAATTCGAACAAAAAAAGATAAAAAGTTTAGTATTGTTGTATATACAAAATAAATAAGTGGAAGAAATCATGTCAAGATATCGTGTTAGAATCTAGTTGCAAATTCAATTGAAGATTTTGGAGTGATAAAAAATTTGATGCTATATATCCGCCAAAAATTTGGAAACATTGTCGACTCAATTATCAAATAAAAGAATATAAAAAAAAAAAAATTAATGCAGATATGATGTTAGTTAACTCAATTATAATAAAAAAATTATAAAAATATTGATTATTAAATAAAACATTGTTAACTCAATTATCAAATAAGAGAAACGACATTGTTAACTTGGTATTAATCCACTGTCAAATAAAAGATTTATTGTTAACTTAATTATTAAATTCAGTTGATCTTTAAAATTAAAAAATGAAATATAGAAAGAAAGATTTTTTGTGATATTTATGGAAAGAAAGATTTGGTAATAAAGATAGTGAAAGATATTTATTTTGGCATTAGTTCGAAGGTTCTAACAAGCACCTGGAACTACAGAAACAGGGAAGATCTTTGCTTATTTGTTTCCTTAATTACGATTATTTTATATTCCATAAATAAGATATTCTGGATCTTATTATGGTACTTTGACTTGTAGGAAATCGGATGAGATAATGAAGGGAGAGGCGTGTATGATAAAGAGATCAAGGAGAGAGAGAAGAAGATTCACTTACCATATTCTCATGCTATAAACAAGGAAGGAAATCAAGGTTGGAGTCCTATGCCTTGTAGAAGACTCCAACCCTAAGGAGATTCTTTTAAAAATACCCGTATGCAAGCTCTCATTGCGGCTGCTGAGTTTTGAAGATTTATAGAGCAATAATTGAGCTTCGTGTATATTTTTATTTGAGTTGAACACAGTTCAGTCTGAGAGCTCGAACTAGCTCAAGGACTGAAGCTGTTTTATTTTGTTCTTTGTGTTTCATCCAAAAACTATTTTACAGCTTATACACTTAGGGAGTAAGTGTAGGTTTTTAAAAGTCCACGGGACGTGGCCGGAGAATTAGTTGATAGGATCTGTGTAGTGTTGGCTAGGCTTGAAGGGAGTTCGAGTCGTTGTAAGTCCAAACTATGTGTATGTTTGATCTATCAATGAAAGAGCTCTGAGGGGAAGTGGGACGCTTCCCTGAAGAGTTTTAAAATCTTCGGTTAATTGCTTCCGCATTTTTTTAGTTCATACCATCGATAAGCGCACTCCGTAGGAATTATACGTTTCAGATAGATTAGATGATGTATGTTGGAAAAATTATTTATGTCACTTTCAAAGCCAAATTTGTTTTCAAAATTTTTTATTCTAATTAAAAAGTATGATATTGTGACATGTAGAATTCCATAGCGTGTGGGTCTGCCACTTAGGCCAAACACGTTTAGAATTAATATATAAGGAAATTGTGTTAGTTGGTTTAGCAGTTAGTGATCAATTATAATATTATTTTAATAAAATATAAATTTATAATAAAAAATATATTAATTTTCATAGGTTTTTTTTACAATATCATATTTTAATATAAAATTATGTACATCTACAGAAAAAATATAATTGTTTAATTGTTAGGTCTGTCCAATCATAATTCTACTAATATTGGGAAACCTATGGTACAAATATTATTAAGCACAATTTAGGTTTAAGGGCGCGGCTACCGCATTTCAAAAGCATGTCAACAACTTTGGAACGAGACTTCTTTGAGATTTACATTATACATAGATGGTAACTGGAGGGGAGCATGTTTGATTGAACCTCCTTTTCCTTATCTAAGAATTCTCTCATGCATATGCACATTTTATAGCGGTAAATCCAAGAGGATTTGTGAGAATCATGTGAGCTTTACCACGCTCAATATAATCATTCATAGCAATCCGACGCTTTAATCCACTCAGTCATCTCTCCCAATTGAAAAAGATAATTACTGTGGAGTCAAATTCTCGTCCGTACGGGTTAACGAAATTGTTTGTTTAATCAATATGAAATTGTTTGTTTAATCAATATAATATGAAATTATTTGTCGTACTGTAAAAATTGGATAGGTTCGATCTATAGTCATTTGATTATGGATTGTATGTGGATGGAATTAGCCCAAGACCCAATTTGATAGCCGAAACATCAAGAAAAGAAGAAAAATTAGTACAAATGTCATATTTATCCCTATTTATATAACACGTGTCTACTTTCTTAAAAATGTATTAATGGGGAAAAAAAAAGAAAAAAAGTGTCATTTTTTTCGAAACGATAGGGAAATTATTATAAATAAAAAATCGCAGAAAGTGCGAAAAAATTGTCCTTATTACTGCTCATATTTATTGCTCAATTATTCAAATGGATAATCTCAAAACTAACATATACTGGTGTGAACAAAACATGAGGAACTTGGTATTGGGTTCAACTGCAGCTGTCCTTTTTTAACGTGCACGGTCTCACTCACCAAACTATATCCTTTCTTCCAAAGGCAGCCCCATTTGGAGTAATGGTTTTACAAAATCATGTTAGCCTTGTTTTGGTCTTTTGTCCGCTACTATATTTATTATATTCGAGTAGAGATCACCAAAAATTACTCAAATTTAACTTAAATTTCGAAAGAAAAAAAAAAAAAAAAAAAAAAATTGAAAGTGCACAGATTGAGATGCCAAAATGTTCGGTAAATTTAGCAGCAATTGAATGTTACTAAATGAGAAATATTGGAAAATTTATAACTTTTTACAATTTTATGATTTTTAATTTTTTTATCATTCAGTGAAACAAATATAATTTATGCCCGGCCCATTGAGAAGTGGAAGAGAATGGGCTCGTGATTGTTATTATTATTATTATTATTATAGAACCGGAAGAATAGGGAATGTTAGGCTCGACCAAGTAGGCCCATGACCCAGCATTTTTACCTGCCCGGCTGATCCAATCTAAAATAAATTAACATGACCTTTAAAGAAATTATAGCCCATATGAAACTATGCCAGGCCCAGGCTCTGCCGGAAAATATTGGCAGTCTCTCTATGATCGTTTCATTTTTTGGAAGGTAAAACCTCTAACATAACCTGACCACGGCTCAGAACTTGAATATCCAAAAATTATATCTTTTACTGAATTCAGAATTCAGTTGCACATCAAACATCGACATGGTTTCTAACCAGGCTAGACTTCTTAGAGAACACTAGTCGAGACAGAGACAAAAACGGGTTACGAAAATCTCGTAAAGCCCCAAAAAACCTAGCAACAAAAGCTCCATGGAAGGAGCTATGCACGAGGAGCTCCAGGTGCTCCACCGGCTCGTGGGACTTGATTCGGCTTTGGTGCATCATCCTGCCAAAGGAGGATATATAAAGAACTAAGTTAGGGATCCAACAACCAAAAACATCAATAAAGATGACTACTACTACTACTAATAATAATAATATTAATAATAGTAACAAAATTTTGGAGATGCTAAAACAAAATCAAATTAAACGGTTATGCGGGTGCAAATTGGAGAAGACATGAGACATCTGCCATTAGAATTTAGAAGTTTCATATACTAACAATCTCAAAAACATTTTTCTTGTACCCCAAGCAATAAGGTAAATCCGCTTGAATATTGGAGAGTGTGCATTTGTGGATAGTAAAGAGTGTAAAATGGTAATATTCCACAATGGCAAATCACTTGCGCGTGAAGGGAAACATAACTAGAATACCTATACAATAAGCCTTTACCAGTTAGCAATGTCAAATTTCATAGAGTAATCCAAATGCATAAAAACATAACAGTGTAACAGCACATCGACTACAGAAAACAATGGTCAATCCAAATTATGGAGCAACAAAACGATAAACTATAAACGACAAGGGCAAATCTAAACTGACCCTTGGGCGCCTGAACCGCACTGGAGGCTCGCGGTTCCTCCTGTCAGTACTAGATCGGACCCTCACCACCTTCGAGTGAATTGCACATGATACACAGTACTGCATCTTCACGTACAGCTTGGGAAGAGTGTACACTACATTGGATACGAAAACATGCACTAGTTCAATTGCTTACTTATTCCTAATGATTTGCAAACGAGAATGAAGTAGGGCATTAGAAGAGGTTAATTTCCCAATTAAGACATAAGGGCTTACTTTCGAAGGCACAAGCTTCCTGCACATCCCTTACAGCAGCTTGCTCAACGATGTTCCTCACAAGAAACCTCTTGATTGCCTTATCCTGTATTATAGAGGCAGAACAAAGCAAAAATATATTTACCCATAAAAACATTTATGGAGCAAAAATGCTAAGAACAAGCACCAGTTTCAAGATCCTTCAAATTCTACTCTTTAGCACAAATTCAAATATCAGCTAATTACGATTAAGAAAAACATTGTCTACCAATGCATGAAGACATAGATGCAAAACCATTGAGCTGTATCCCATATCGAAATACAAGCTTCAGTTTTCGTAACACATTTGCTCACATATTCCATGAGGAGACATCACAAGATCACATTACACCATCTCCAACAGGTTGATACTGACAAACATAATAGCCATTTCCAAAATTAACAAAAACAGCTAGCTGCTATTTATACCACAAACACTCAATTTCACAATAAGGCGAACGTTAACATGGTGAAATTATGTGCCACCGAACAAAATCAAGATCAAGGATAATAAAACAAGTGAAATAAAAAAAAAATAAAGAAATAACCATAGCAATGCCAACCAATTTGTTCATAAACAAACCTTGGGGCAGCATTTTCCGCAGTTTGAGCAGCGGACAAAGTTGACATGGCCACGGCCATGCTTGTTGCGCCCTCCATTCCTTCTCTTAAACGTCTAAGCATTTCAACATGAACCACGAAACACAAAACGTATGATTAACCAGTCCAATGGAAGATCAAATCAGGAAACAACATATATGAACAAGAAATTGAATAATTTCCGATCAATCACAAAATAACAAAGAGAATTCCGCTCACCATTGTCGATTAACTCCAGAAATGGAGTTGCTCAGCTGAAACACATACACACACACTCTCTCTCTCTCTGTCTCTCTCTCTCTCTCTCTCTCTCTCTCTCTAGGGTTTTATAAATGGAACTGTTGTGAGATTAATGCGCCATCTGCTTTCTAAAGTCATACATGCTAATGGGCTCAACTTCATAGGAACTCGTAGCCCAATGTAGGCCCTTTTAACTCCGGCCTAGTGAACATCGAGGCCGAACCTAAAGTCCAAAACAAGAATCGCAAACAGCCGAGTTTCCACGAGCAAGTATGTAAGCAACTAAGCATACTAAGCAAAAATAATTTCAATGAAAAGTATGGATAAATGACACTTTAAATGGCAGGTGAATATAACAATTATAAATTTATGTGTGAGAATTATAAAAATTATGTAATCAGTTCAATTATAATTTGGTTGAATTGTACAATTTATGTAACCAATTCAAATATATTTTTTTACTGAATTAATATAATTTTCTAATATGTATATTTATATTGAACAATTATTCAATTTTCTAATATGTATTTTTATATTGAACAATTATTCAATTTTATTTCATCAACGAGTATAGGAAAATAAACCTAACATTCATTTCATTATCAGATATTAATTTGAAACAAATTTATATAAGAAAAAATTAATTAAAAAATATATAGCAAAGGAAAATATAATTTTTTTAGTTTGATATAAAAAGTTGATGTTAGAATATATAAATATAGTAGAGGTGCAAACGAACTTAAATGAAGTTAAACTCATAATACTCGAGTCAAGTTGAGGTCAAGTCTCCGATACTCAAGCCAAATCAAATCGGAATCTTTAACTAAAGGAGTGTGACTCTTTTAGCAATATTAATAGGCCGAGTTAGAATATTCACGAATTGAGCTATGAATATATAAAAAATCTCAATTTACAGAGCATTAACAATGCTCCGAGTTCAATGCAAAAAATTTATATGTCACCTAGAAAAAGAGAGTCAGTCTACCATTAAATTTATTTTATACCAAGTAGAGAACTAGTAATTTTGCATCGGAGTGTATTTTGTTAACTTTATATAGTTTTATTCATGTCATCTAAGACTTTGGTTTATTTATATATCACATAGACAAAATTAAACCCAATCTATTTTATACGAAGTAGAGAACTAGTATTTTTTCACTGAAGTGAATTTTGTTAACTTTATATAATTTTATTCACGTCATCCAATACTTTGGTTTATTTATATATCACATAGGCAAAATTAGATCAAATGCATTGTATATGTTCAAGGACTCGATTTGGCTTGACTCAACTCATTAATTAAATGAAGTCGAACTAAACTAATTTTTTTAACGAATTAAGTCAAGTTAGATAAACGAGTTTGAACAACGAGGTGGTCATTTCATTTATCAACTACTCATATTATATAACTATTAAATGAGAGGAGATATGTAAATAATTGATAGTTATGGTTCATTGGAATAATTGATAGTTATAGTTATATGGTCATTTCATTTAAAAATATGATTTTTTTCGATCAAAATAATTCACCTCATTCTTTTTATTTTGTCCCTTACTATTTTAATAGAATTTTGTTCATTAATATATTAATAAATAGCAAATATTATGTCATAATATTTTATATTGTTAATACTCAGTAATATTTTGTTTTACCAAATCTTGTTTTTGTTAAAATTAATTAAATGAAAATGTATTCAATTACAAGAATTCGATTTGAATTCGATTTTTACAAGAATTCGATTTTTGTTATTTGGAAAATGTACTAAATAAATGAAGAAGTTGGTTATTTTCTTGGTAAAAAAATTGAGTTTCGAGTAGAAAATGGTGTTGAAGTTTGCTCTTGATTTCAGAATTCCCAATGTTCAATCGAAATCCCTAGCGACATAATCAGAAATTCATCACAACACAACAAAGATTCTCCCTTTCTTCTTCTGCAAAATTAGGAGTTTTCGGTACTCTACACTCCCGGCCATGGACATCGACCCTGACATCGCGAATTGGATTCTGGACTTCCTTCTCCGGCAGCCGCTTGACGACCAGGCACTGAGTTCTCTGCTTCGCGCCCTCCCTCTTGCAAACGACGACGCCGACCTGAAAAAGCTCCTATTGATTCGGAAAATGGAGTCCGAGGTATCGCAAAATTCAATTTCCGAGAGCACCCTTGATTTGTTCGAACAATTGGAGGAATTGGAGTTCCGAAAAGGGAACGACGCGGTTTCAGACGCCATGAAGCGCGCGTATTGCGCTGTGGCAGTGGAATCCACGGTGAAGCTCCTGTCGAACAGGGACGGTGGGGATAAGCCCAGCAAGTTTGATTTTTTCGAGGCCGTGAAGAGAATTTGGAGGGGCAGAGTTGGGAGAATGGAGAAGGTGGTGGAGAAAGGAGGATTGGGTTCGGACGAGCTCTGGTCGTGGAAGGACGAGATGGAGGCTGCCGTCTGGGAGGATAGCGTCTGCGAAGGTGTTGTGAAGAGGAGTGCAGGAGTTGTTGGGGTTGAGGTGGTTAAGGCTTATCTGAGGGAGGAGAGAGAGAAAATGGGTTCCTCGTTTCTAGAGATGGTGGCCGAGGGTGTGAAGAATGGGGACATAGTTCACGAGGTTTTGGGCCTGGAGAATGGTGGTCGGGTAGTAGCAGAAAGTGAGGCGCCTTCAAGTTGTGACGGTGCTATAAGTAATGGCGGCAACGGTAAGTTTATCTCACTCAATCTCTCTCTCTCTCTCTCTCTCTTGGTGTGTGTGTGTGTGT